TCTCCTGGTGACTGGCCCAAAGTTACCCAGCCAGTTTTCACGCCTAAGGTGGGACTAGAACTCAACAACTCCTGCCTCTCCGAAGTAGATACTTGCTTGAAATTAAGTCATTAAGCCATCTTTGCAGCACGTTCAGAAGCTTCCTGGAAACCAGTTTTGGAAAGCAACATACACATTTTTTTATTTTTAATGAAAAGAAAATAAAGCTTTGTACTTCCACTTTTAATCCTCTGTTTCTTTGAAGCTTCTGTATTACAAGACTAAGTCTTATACTACAGTGGCAACTGGAAAGGGAAAACAGATTAGGACGCCCGTCCTTCCCTCAGCATCTTGAGACGGTGATGAGGAGTATCAAAACTCCAGTGCCGCGAAGGCGCAAGGTAAAACGGGCTGAATGCACGCACCTTCTGTGGAGCTTGGCTTCCCTTCCTTCATCCCTTCCTCCTCCTCCTCCTCCAGGTTCTCTGGCAGGCATGCCCTTGATTCCAGCTGCTGCAAGATAGTCGGGCAGAATTCTTTGAACTCCCTCTGCCCGAGATGGGACGATTCACTCAGATTGTGGGTGGCGAAGAGTTCTGAAGAACTGAAGCACTGCAAAGGCAAAAAGGTTGAGATTTCCACAGCGGGTCTCGTCCTGCTTCTTCAGACACACAGGTGATGCACCGGCTCGGATATCCTTTCCTTAACTTCTCCGCAACAGCACCTTCTCCCTCCCTTCCTCTCAGGCCTTCGGAAGCAACTCCTACACCCAGTTTCTGATATTCTGTGAATTTGTGTAAACTTTAGGATACTAGCTCAATACCTGTGCTTCACTACGAAACTCTGTGCTTTGGCTTAGATTTTGGGGAGGAAAATAAGAGCGTGGAGGGGGGAAATTCTGCCTCTGCCTACCAGCATCCATCGGTATTCATCTGGCTAGTGTCCTGTCAGTGTGTGAGAGAGTTGAGGGCTGTTTGGAAACTGAAACATGGAAACTGTATTTGCTGTGTGAGCAAGAGGGAGACAGCAAGGAGCCTGGGCGTGGCTTAGCTCAACTGTTGTGTACTAAAGCTGCTTGCTGCTGTGAAACTGAAACTCCTCTGCTTGTGTTTTGCATTTGGAACAGATTTCTTTTCAGGTGGGGCGGGGGAGTAGAATTCCTTAGCATCAGATAATAATAATAATCATAATCATAATATAGGAAATACTAATGCTCTGATGGTCATTTTGAAAAATCCTTTCTTAGTGAGCACCTAGAAGCCAAGAGGGACGTACATGCCAAATTTCAAGTTTGTAGGCTTTACGGTTCTGGAGAGTTTGTGATGATGCGTGAGTGGACTTTCGCTTTTATATATACAGATAATTCTTCCAGTTTTGAACCCACTGCAAGGTTCCTTCTATCAGGATGCAACAGTGGAGGGAAAACACCTGGCTCTGCTAACAGTTTTTGATGGCTGTTATCAAAAAGATCTGTGCTTTTAAGACCTGAACCAGGGCTAACGTCCCTTTCATCTCCTTCCTTCCTTTTATGCGCAATGCCTTTGAGACAGACATTGGTTGCTTTTGTTGTTTTGCTGAAAGCAGCTTCAAGCCATTGGCTCTGTCACTTTGGGACATGAGTGTTGCATCACAACTCACGCACAAAAGGAGCCAGGGTTTGCTTCGTGACAACGTGGGACTTGGGAGTATGACACTACCATCAGATTGATAGCAACAGCGCTTAAGACTTACATATACCGCTTCACGGTGCCTCACAGCCCTCTCGAAGCGATTTACAGAGTCAGCCTCTTGTCCCCAACAATCTGGGTCTTCATTTTACCCACCTCGGAAGGATGGAAGGCTGAGTCAACTTGGAGTCGGTCAGGATCGAACTTCCTAGCTGTGGGCAGAGTCAGCCTGCAATACTGCGTTCTAACCACTGCGCCACCATGCCACTGATCAGGAGAGCCATCTGTTTTCAGTCTATGGCAAGGCTGTCAAACTCGCAGATGCGTCACGCGCTGGCCACGCCCACGCCCAGTTTAGGGAGGGGAGGGGAATCGCAATATGGCAAGTGACGTCACTGTGATGCCACAAGTTTGACACCCCTGGTCTGTGGCCTTATGGGCAGGACTAGTCTCTCGAAGGAACGGTTCAAGAGCATCTTTAGAAGAACAACACGCCAGAGGCCAGATCTGACTTCAGCCTGCCTGGACTGGGCTCCTTTGCGGATCTTCCTTCCTGATATGAACCTCATCCGCTCATCCACATTCCTCCTGCATCAGCGGCAAGGCTGGCAGGGGAAACACGTGCACATTTCCCCCGGCCACCAAGTTATTGGAGGTTCTCGCCAGAACTGTTCAACTTGTATTTTAGATCCTGCCTTTATTATTTTTCTAAACAACTCAAGAAAGCCAATGTGTCCGATACGCCTTCCGCCTCTCCTTTTCCCCACCACAGCAACGTGGAGAACTGAGTTGGGCTGAGAGAAAGAGAGAGTCATCCAGACCAGGGGTCTCCAACCTTGGCAACTTGGAAGTCTGTCAGGCTTCAAGCAGGGATGGAATTCAACTGGAGTTACTCCCGGTTCAGTGACTACGTTTATTCTATTTTATTCTTTCATTCTTAATTCTATTCTATTTTTTCATTTCTATTCTATTCATTCTTAATTCTCTTCTTTCATTCTTAATTCTATTCTATTCTTTCATTCTTAATTCTATTCTTTCATTTATGTTCTATTCATTCTTAATTCTATTCCATTCTTTCATTCTTAATTCTATTCCATTCTTTCATTCTTAATTCTATTCTATTCTTTCATTCTTAATTCTATTCTTTCATTTATGTTCTATTCTATTCATTCTTAATTCCATTCTTTCATTCTCTTTCATTCTATTCTATTCTACTCTATTCTATTCTTTCATTAAATCTATTTTATTCTATTCTTTCATTCTTAATTCTATTCTATTCTTTCATTTCTGTTCTATTCTGTTCATTCTTAATTCTATTCTTTCATTCTTAGTTCTTTCATTCTATTCTATTCTTTCATTCTTAATCCTATTTTATTCTATTCTTTCATTCTTAATTCTATTCTATCATTTCTCTTCTATTCTGTTCATTCTTAATTCTATTCTTTCATTCTTAGTTCTCTTTCATTCTTAGTTCTCTTTCATTCTATTCTATTCTATTCTATTCTATTCTATTCTATTCTATTCTATTCTATTCTATTCTTTCATTCTTAATTCTACTCTCTTCTATTCTAATGGGGAAGCAGAGGTGATTACCTTGGAGATGTTCCAGTGATGTGGCGGCTGCCGCTGCGTGTGACTGACATTGTGCCGTTCGACGCCCACATGCAGGTGCCCCAACAGAGATTTCAACTGCTGCAGGCTGAGCGTGTCCTCTTCACCGTAACGGAGGAAAAGGTCCTGTAGGAAGGAGGCTGCCGTGATGGGAGGGGGAGCCGAGGCTTCTGTGCCAGCCCACGTCTGCGAAGTCCGAAGCAGGAGGTACAGCTGCAGCACCAAGGCCCGTCTCCAGAACCGTCCGCTCCAAAACATGGCTTCAAAGCTGAAAAGACAGAGCCAGGCCCTTGGATTAGCACGGCCCCTTCAAACCCTTGCTCTGCTCCTAGCCGTATTTACTCCATAATTCCTGCTTCTTTCAAAATAAGACAGCAGATAGTAGAGCAAAGGGACGCCTGGACAATGGAGAGGGCCCAAAGATTGTTTACGGGAACAAAGAGCAAGTGCAACCAACATTGGGGACAGTGGTGGGATTCCATTTTTTTTTTTTACTGCCGGTTCTGTGGGCGTGGCGGCTTGGAGGCTGTGAAATGGCTTGTTGGGCGTGGTGTAGTGTGATGGGTATGGCAGGGGAAGGAGACTGCAAAATCCCCATTCCCTCCCCACCCCACTAACCTGCTTTCCAGCTCCGTTCTCCTGTGCAGGGCAACCAAAGAAGACCCAGCCAATCAGCTGGGACTCAATGGGAGGCAGAGAATAGATGGGGTTGGCGGGGCAGTCAGAGGTGGGATTTGCCGGTTCTCCAAACTACTCAATATTTCCGCTACCGGTTCTCTAGAACCGTCTGAATCCCACCTCTGACTGGGGGGACAGCCACATCATTCCCAAGGGCAGAGATGAGATTCTCCCACATGTATTGTCCCATTTGCATTGCCGGTTTCAAATTCTATTAAATCTACACTTTTATTGATTTGATTTGATCAAATTGCTGTGTCCCCCCCACCTCGGTCTCCCCTACAAGGTGACCCTGGGTGGCTAAACTTGTAGATTTAAGCCGGAGCATTTGCTACTTCGAAATGGCAGCGACCCACCAGCCAGCGAGGTGAGCTTTAAGGCCCTCGCACAAAAAGTCCACGCCAAGCGAGGACGTCCACTGTTCAATTCTATTCTAGCTGTAAATTCTGCCTACCTATCCTATCAATTTCTCTTTGCAATGCTTTTTAATGCTCCAGATTACCAGATGCGGGGGCAGAACCACGCAGATCTTAACTCGACAGCAATCCTGCCCCTTATCCTTGTGTTGTTTCTGCCAAAAGAAGACACCTCAAAATTAGGGATTTTTTTGTTATGTGTGATGGCCACTTGCACATAACTTCTTATCTTACAACTTATCCTCTTCAATGGTCTTGGTCTGACTTGCACTGAAGCTTATATTCTGATTCCCAGCTCCATTTCCAAATGGCTATCCTACCTCTTCTTGATGGCCTCCAGTGTTGGAGCACCCAAAACTTCCCGTTCCACTGATTAATTGTTCTTCTCACGGTCAGAAATATTTTCCCCCTTAGTTCTAGGTTGGATCTGTCTTTAAGGATCTTCCACCCATGAATTCTTGTCCTGCCCTCTGGTGCTTTCGAGACTAGGAGAGTTAGGACACCTAAGGATAACCAGAAGTGGTCTATCAGGAAGGCAAAAGCCTTTTCACTATTCTCATTCCAGCAAACAGAATTGCTTCCATTGAAGACCTGCGTATTTGCAAGAGCCAGAAAGAGGGTTAACAAAAGATCTACAGGCCTCACACATTCCAAGAAGAGATTGGACTGGCATTTATCAGAAATGGTGTAGGGTCTCCTGCTTAGGCGGGGGTGGGTGGGGGTGTTGGACTAGATGACTGTTCTGACCCAAACCTTGCTCCAAGGAAACAAACACCAGACAGAGGTAACAGCAAAACCTTTTAATGATTCTTTACGAATTCCGTTCCTTCCCAGTTAAAAGGCTGTTTGTGTCTCTGATAAGAAGGAGCCTTGGCAAGGTTGTGCAAGGCTGCCATGAACACTAGATAAAGTTGTCAAGAATTATTTCAAACACAAAGAGTCTCCAAACACAAACTAAGAGAGTCTGAACATCCGCAAGGCCTGAGTGCAAAAACTTCTTTGCTTCCTGCAAAGAACTCCAGTTTCTCAGCTGGCTTTTATCTCCTAAGGGAGGGGCCATTACCTTGCAGCCTTACTCCCGAGTTGCCCGTGCTGCTGCAGCTGCTCTTTCCTTCGAGCAGCCCTGCGTGCACGTGCACTGGGCATAGGCTCCTCAGGGGCCTCTTCCTCACTGCTGCCAGCCTCCGCAATCTCCAAAGGCAGCACTCCACTCCCTGATGGTCCTGGCCCCATCCCTGCCTCACATGCAGGCCCCTCATCTGAGCCCTCGCTCTCCAACACCTCTGCCGTCTGCATCTGCCGCCGGTGAACCACAACAATGACCCACAAAGTCCCTTCCAACTGTGATTATCTGTAAATGTGGACATAAACTGCTTCAACTTCTCCTGTCAAGATGTCGTTACAGAACATTGCATGCCTAAAAACTAGGCCCAAAGAGAATCCCCCCGACCAAATGCTATCATTCTATTAAACACCTCATTTCCATAGCACTTAGGCCTAAAGATATTTATTCATGTAGTAGGGATATACTGCTATTATCCTTCTCATCTTCTCAACTTTCCTACTACTATCTCCTATTACTATCTCATGATTTATCACTTTTATGAATTATGACTGTATCTGTCATGCCCCTGCTGGAATCTGATTCCGAGGGGGAGGTCGAACAACTGAAAGGGAGTGGGAGTGTGGCTCCTATGGCTGTGGAAGAAACCGGGGAAGGGCACAGTCCGGCTGGGCCTTCAGAGGAAGACCCAGGCCCATCCCCTCTTCATCCTAGGGCATGCAGGGAGGAACGGAGAAGGGAGCAACATGAGTTACGGGGGAGAAAAGGGCCCTGATTCCCTTCATTAGCTGCAGCTGGGAAAACAGGATTTCAAAAGGGCGTTTGCGCACAGCACCTTGCTGGAAGCAAAGTGTGAATTATTTTGGTTTGTCAAGTCTTATCTGGGTTCTGGCATCCTCCCAATTGTGTGTGTTTCATTATCTTTTGAAGCCTGCAATTCCTTATCCTGCTCTGTCTCGTTAATTGCTGCAGCTGTGGTTTGTGTTGGTTTTTATTTATAATTTATATGTACTTTGGGTTCAGACTGAATTTCTTCCCGTTGAACAACTGTTCTTGAGAGAGTTTTTTTCTCCAGCCGATGATAACTGGACATTGGGGGCCAAGTTGGAGGAATTAAAGGGACTTTACCTACTTTTGTGTTGCTTTTGTGCCACGCTCTGGGTCATCCCAGTGTCTGTGACTTATCACTTCGTTGTTTGTATATACGCTGAGAGCTTGTGCGCAGAGACAAATTCTTTGTGTGTCCGATCACACCTGGCCAATAAAGACTATTCCAATTCCAACGACCGCTGAGCTCATATTTTGACCCTCCAGCTTTTCCAAACACCTTTGCTTGGTTAATAGAGGCAATTTCAGACATGGGATGCGACACCGGGAAAAAAATAAAGCATCCTTCCCTTAATCCTCCAGGAAAAGATTGAAGGCAAATGAGCTCCAGGTGGAAGAAGGACATAATGGCTTCAAAATCTAAGGAACTAGGTTGGACAAAACTGAGCGGCATTTTTTCATGCAGCTGTTGATAAAAATAGAATCGCCAACATCCGATGACGGATATGGCACAACACGAAGAACAGAGGCAAAACAACACCTGAATCAGAACGTGTCTTGCTTTATATATTTTCACAAGTTACAAAAAATGCAACACTTTCCCACAACAGGAGCAGTAACAAACTAAAGACAAAGAAAAACAGAATACCTGAACCCAAACATCTTTCATTATCACTAAACAGGCGCAGGCTGATGTTTTTTGCTGTAGCCACTTCTCAAAAGAGCTTATATCAATATCGAAAAACACTGACGATTATTATATACGCATACTGAAGGAAGGAAGTCAGAAGTCAGGTTTCCCTGTTCCTTTTTACTTTCCCCTGTCACTTTCCAGTCTGATTCCCCTCCCTTTTAAAAATCTTTTCTTTTGTTTAATATTTGGTATTTAACTTTCTTGGAAACTTTATAAAGTTGGTTTGTTTTTTTTAAACAAAGAACATTCTGAAGAATGTCCTCTCTAAGGCTGTTCAACCATGTTGGACACTCCAGAAAGCAGTAGACCAGGGGTCTCCAAACTTGGCAACTTTAAGACTCATGGACTTCAACTCCCATAAGTTGCTGGATGGAGACTTCTAGGAGTTGAAGTCCACGAGACTTAAAGTTGCCAAGTTTGAAGACCCCTGCAGCAGACAGAAGGAAAGTACCACACAAATTGAAATTTGGAACAATAATAAGCGAAATGGAGCAAAAATTGAATTATCTGCTCCGGAAACCATTGTTCAAACAGAAAGTTTGCTTCTGTCTACAAGGGTGTGCAAGACACTCCAAAGTTTAGAAATTAGGTAGAGGGTGAAACTAGAGGGACAGTCATACTGGACTTAATTCTTACAAACAAAGAAGAAGTGATAGAGGGAGTTGAAACTGCAGGAACCTTGGGTGAGAGTGACCATGTCATACTAGAATTCAACATAACTCAAACACAAGCAACAGAGCATAATGACACCAGAGTCTTGGATTTTAAAAGAGCTGATTTCAATAAACTCAGAGAGAACTTGGGAAAGATTCCATGGATGAAAATCCTAAAGGGGAAAACAACTCAAGAATTTTAGGAAACTCTAAACAGTATGATCATAGAAGCCCAGACCAGCACAATACTACTGAGAAAGAAAAACAAGAAATCCAAGAAGAAACCAGCATGGCTGCACAAAGATCTCTCTGGCAAATTGAAAGAAAAAAAGGACAAGTACAAAAAATGGAAAGAAGGACATACAACTAAGGCAGAATATCAGCAGATAGCCAGAATCTGCAAAGACAAAGTCAGGATAGCAAAGGCTCAGAACGGACAAAGACTTGCAACAAAAGTCAAAGATAATAAAAAAAAGTTTCTTCCAACATATAAATAACAAGAAAAAAAATCAAGGAAACAGTCGGTCCACTAAAGAGAGAAGATGGCAAGGAAGTAACAGGCAAAAGAGAGAAAGCAGAACTGCTTAACTCATTCTTTGCATCTGTCTTCATGCAAAAAGAAACCCACCAAAAACATAACTGTAAAAGACAGACCAGAAATAAAAGTTAAAATAAGCAAAAAATAAATAAAGGAGCTGGCAGAGGTCATCTCAGAACCACTGCACCATATCTTTCAAAAATCCTGGAGCACCGGGGAACTACCAGAGGATTGGAAAAGAGCTGATGTGGTTCCCATCTTCAAAAAAGAAAAAAAAAACAGACCCAGGAAACTATAGACCAATCAGCCTAACATCAATACCCGGGAAGATACTGGAAAGGATAATAAAAGAAACAGATCTGCCAACATCTAGAAACAAGTAAAGTAATAACTAGCAGTCAGCACAGGTTTGTTAGAAACAGATCGTGCCAAACCAATCTTATTTCATTCTTCAACACAGTGACTAAATTAGTAGAACAGCAAAATACTGTGGATATAATATATTTAAATTTCAGCAAGGCATTTGATAAAGTAGACCACAACCTACTTCTTATTAAGCTAGAAAAAAGTGGAATAGATAGCACTACCACTAGATGGATTTGCAACTGGCTGGCAAATCGTACTCAACGAGTAGTCCTTAATGGGTCTAAGTCTACATGGAGGGAAGTAAGCAGTGGGGTGCCACAAGGTTCCGTCTTAGGCCCAGGACTCTTCAATATCTTCATTAACGACTTAGATGAGGAAATAGAAAGCGAACTTACCAAATTTGTAGATGATACTAAGTTGGCAGGAATAGCTAACACCCAAGAAGATAGGCTCAAGATCCAGATGGATCTTGACAAACTAGAACACTGGGCCATATCTAATAAAATGAAATTCAATATAGAGAAAAGTAAAGTCCTACACTTAGGCAAGAAAAACCAAAAGTACACATATAGATTGGGTGAAACCAGGCTCAATAGCAGTAACTGGGAGAGGGATCTTGGTGTCTTAGTGGACAACCAGCTAACTAGGAGCCAGCCGTGTGCAGCAGCCACCCAAAAAGCTAATGCAATCCTAAGTTGTATTAACAGAGGGATACAGTCAAGATCAAGGGAAGTACTAATACCACTCTATAAAGCCTTAGTAAGACCACACCTTGAGTACTACATCCAGTTTTGGTCACCACATTATAAAAAAGATGTTGAGACTCTAGAAATAATACAGAGAAGAGCAACCCGGATGATTAGGGGACTGGAGGCTAAAACATACAGTGAACAGTTGCAGGAACTGGGCTTGGCTAGTCTAGTAAAGAGAAGGACCAGGGGAGACAGGATAGCAATCTTCCAATACTTGAGGGGCTGCCACAGAAAGGAAGGGGTCAAGCTATTTTCTAAAGTGCCTGTAGGCCAGATAAGGAATAATGGATGGAAACTGAACAAGGAGAGATTTAACCTGGAAACAAGGAGAAACTTTCTGACAGTGAGAACAATCAATCAATGGAATAGAAGTTGCCCTCGGAAGTTGTGGGAGCATCATCACCTGAGATTTTCAAGAAGACATTGGACTGCCATTTGTCAGAAATGATGTAGTGTCTCCCACTTGGGTGGGTGGTTCGACTAGATGACCTACAAGGTCCCTTCCTACTCTGATTATCTGTATCTGTAACGACTGAATGCATACATTGCATTTATTAACATGAAATTGTTCTGCTAAGTTACCCCTCGCCATTCCCCAAGAAGACAAAATGGAGCAACGAGCGTTATTTCCTTAACACAAAGAAGGAAATCAAACTGAAGATATCCCCAAGGTGCTTTTCCAAAAGACAAGTGGACTTTCTTGGGGGTTTTTCTTTGAAAATGTTTCACTTCCCATCCAAGCAGCTTCTTCAGTTTTAACTGAAAAACTAAAAAAAAAACAAAACCTTTGGGGCGTCCATGATCTGGAGATTGGGAATCTCCATAGACAAAGTGAAGATTGATTGAGTTGCCCAATGGATACGTAAGAGGCAATTTCCCAAGAAGTTCCGATTTGGTGCAAGACCTACAACCTGAGCCAAGTAATGGAGCTTCGGAATGAGAAGAATTTGGGGCAACATTTTCCCAACACCGAATCCTTCAGGCACTCAGGTCTGATATTAAAGAAGGCAGGTTTAGGATTTTATGGAAGACTCAAACCCTTCTTTTATTACCCACAAATTAATGAACACTTGATTCTGCAGGATGGGTTTGATTAAACTGTTACGGGTTTTTTTTAAAGAAGAAATATTAACATTATTAGTATCTGAAAGAGTTTTGTTCCCTTTTCCATCAATCCAAACAAGAAAAAAGTTGAACAAGCAAACTTAGGTTGGACAGAAATCTCAGTAAATTTCATAGCATGGTTTAATTCACATGGCATGGTTTAGGCATTGTACATAAAATGAACTAAATCTGTTAGTAAATAGGCAATTAATGTTAATATGCTCAAACTGTTTAGTGCATAAACGTTAATACTTCAGAGGAATTAAAAGGTCACAACATTTTATAGTTCTTCAGGGTAACCTCCCAACCAAGCATTCACCAGATCCAGCCTTGTTCAGCTTATTTAAGACTATATCCAAGGCTGGCTGTGACTTCCCGTCCTAGATTATTTGCAACCTTAAATTTAGATTTCAAATTGTACAAATCCATTACGGTTTTCCATTTTGACTGCTACCCTGTTCATGCATGACACTAGCCTGATCTCGAGCTAATGAAGCTAGCTTGAGATTTCACTCTAGCACAGGGGTCCCCAAACTTGGCAACTTTAAGACTTGTGGACTTCAACTCCCAGAATTCTGGAAGTGGAAGTCCACAAGTCTTAAAAGTTGCCAAGTTTGGAGACCTCTGCTCTAGCAGTAGAATGTTGGCCAGTTTGCTATCAAAACCGCACAAGGTCAACAAATATCCAGGCAACATTGAAATGACTTACCCAGCTCAGCAAAAATTCCAGAAAGCCGTTCAAAACACAACAGTTACAGAGAATTAAGAATCTCTCCAAATTCTGTCAAGAGAGAAAGAAATCTACAGCAACAGTTCTACCTGAAAAGAATCAAAAGGGCCATCAGGAGTTGTTCAATGAAGAGGGGTGAGGTTTTTCTATTTGACTGAATGGCCACAACCTGTAATTTACATTTTGGTTCCTTGTAGCGTAACCACTGCTTACCATTCGTAATGCAAAGCGAGAATTAAAAAGAGAACCTACCCCAGACCACGAACAAAGAATCTCGGTGGCAGGAACTGAAAATAAGATGTCACTTAAAAGGAGCACTTTATAAAAGATTTACTCATTGGGAAGGACATGGAAGTTAAACAGGAGAACCTGTGTCTACAAAGGTTGCTCTGGATTCATGTTTCGTAATATTCCAAGCACAGAGGGCATGTTGACCTCTTTTGGTAGTTTTTTACCCCCCCTGGGCTAAGCAGTCCTGTCCCCTATGGATTAAGCAATCCATGTTGATCTCTATGAGGCCAATTCCTTAAAGTCAACATGGGCTTTAACCTTAAAGATAACCAACCTCCAAACTAATCCAACTGTTTGAGATGGATGCATTGACCAATTGTGTTGGTACCTTGTCATTCTTACCAGCAGCTTCTGAAGTGGAACAAAGCTACAGAAGGCTGAAACACACACAGGTAGTCCTCGGATTACGACCACAATTGACCCCCCCCAATTTCCATTGTTAAGCGAAACATTGGTTAAGTGAGTTTTGTTCCATTTTACGACCTCTCTTGCCACAATTGTTAAGTGAATCACGTCTGTTGATAAGTGAGTAGCCCATTTCTTAAGGGAATCCAGCTTCCCAGTTGACTTTCCTCATCAGATGGTCGCAAACGGTGGATCACATAACCTTGGGACATAGCAACAGTCATAAGTAAGAACCAGCTGCCAAGCATGACTGGAGGCTAAAACTTATGAAGAACGGTTGCAGGAACTGGGCCTGGCTAGTCTAGGGAAGAGAAGGACCAGGGGAGACAGGAGAGCAGTCTTCCAATATTTCACAGGGGCTGCCATAGAGGAGGCAGTCAAGTTGTTCTCCAAAGCGAAAGAAAGAAAGATGAGAGAAAGAAAGGAAGGAAGGAAGGAAGGAAGGAAGGAAGGAAGGAAGGAAGGAAGGAGGAAAGGAAAGGAAAAGTCATGGTCGTAAGTAATGTTTTTCAGTGCCATTGTAACTTTGTATGGTCACTAAATGAACTGTTTTAAGTCAAGGACTGCATGTGTTGTTGTCCCAGAGTCTTATTAAAGTTTTGCTTTCTTAACCATTTTTGTTGGCTTGGATTATGTTTTATGGATTCCGCCCCCTCCCCTGCATCATTCCGTTTGCAAAGTATCTTGAAACTGGTACCTGTGGCAATTCAGAAAGACACACACACACACACACACACACACCACCAAAACCAAAAACACACAAGGCTTTCCTTACACAAATCAAGCAGAGAAAATGTCTTAGAAAAATTCTTGCTCTCTATATGGCGCTGCAACAAAAGTTACAGTTAAGATCCATGTAATTAGGCCAAAACTAGAGAATTTCTAAAAACTAGTATGAGAAGCACAATTATTATTTACTCTAAGTTTAAAATAACTTTATAACTTAAGTCATAACAAAGATAGAGAGCTGTTTCGGGGTCTTGTGTCAGGCGTGAAGAATCAGGACCACACAATAAGTTCTACTTAATAGCCATAGCCCTCCCTTAAGAGGTTTACAAATGCTGACACCCAACAATTTGGGTGCTCATTTTACCAACCTCGGAAAGATGCAAATGGAATCACGATTCATCGCTGCCACATAGCTTGAGAAAGTGGGAGTGGGTGGTGGTATTAATTGAGTAGCTCTTAGTAGACAAAATAGAATTCTTTTGATGGTTCAAGGTCAAAAAGTGTGGCACAGAAAGAATTGGAACTTACTTTGGGATTGGTTCATGTGATATGATGATGAGTAAAAAGGCGGTGGTTTGTAGGTTGGGACATTGTGGGACGTCCGGGGAAACTTTTAGTTTTGGAATTCCACGGATGTGCCAGGTGCTATTCTAATAAAAGTACTTTTGAGATTATGGTTGTCTTGGAGTTTCTGGCAGGAATGGATGTTCCCTGGAACGCTGACAGCAAGGCTGAGTCAATCTTAAGTCAGAATCGAACTGCTGACAGTCGTAAGAATTAGCCTGCAATACTGCATTCTAACCACTGCATCGCCATGGCTCTTTTAGTTATAATCTGATTTATTGCTCATTCTTATACACAAGAATCTAATCAATTAACAGTCAGCACTAAATTGGTGCTAGATAAAGGCTAACGAAATTCAGGAAGGGTTGGACTTGGACCGCTTGTGGGGAACGTGACAATTCTAGGCTGATCCCTCTCTTGACTCCACCCTCAGGTTCTGCCTCTCCTTCTCCTTCGTCTTGCTGCCCATTATCTAGTTTTCCTGCTGTTGATGGCATTCGTCACCAAATTCTGGGATGCAATTTAGAAACCTGCTTAAAAGCCATTCAAAACCAAGGACATGGTTTCCTTTCTTACTCTGCATTGCTTTTAAAATGTCTGGAAAAACACACAGACAATTTGGTGAGAAGACAGTCCTGTTTAGTATACGAAGGAAAAAAATATGCGAGACTCACTTTTAAAACAAATGTACTTTCTCTAAGAGGTAAGGGAAAAATCTGGCTGGCTGGTTTATTGTCCAGTTTGTCAATCAAATATATCCATCTCTGCAGGCATTTTCAGCACAAACACACACACACACACACACACACACACACACACACAAACATACATATAGTCTTCTGTTTGCCTGTCTGTTGATAGATATAGATGGAGGTAGATAGATAACAGATACTAGATGATAGATAGATGGATATAGATAATAGATAATATAATAGGTAGGTGGGTAGATGGGTAGATAAATAGATGGTAGGTTAGGTAGGCAGGCAGGCATACAGATAGATATTGCATGTATGTACATATGTATGTATGTACTGTACATACATACATATATATATATGGTATTCAGCTTTGTTCGGGTATTTTCCCATGTCATTATAGTTGTGCTTTTAAAGTTGTAGCAATGTTTCAGCAGAATCTCATCTGCCATCATCAGACTTCTGTAGATGAACACTATACAGAAGCCTGATGATGGCAGATGAGATTCTGCCGAAATGTTGCTACAACTTTAAAAGCACAACTATAATGACGTGGGAAAATACCCGAACAAAGCTGAATACCATACATGTAAGTACCCGTGAAAACTTAAGAAAACAAATTATATATCCAAATATTAAACGGGTCCAAGACGACTGCTTCGTTTTTCTCAGCCTTGGCAACTCTCAGATGCGTGGACTTCAACTTCCACAATTCCTCCGCCAGCACTGGGAATTCTGGGAGTTGAAGTCCACGCATCCTGCAGTTGCCAAGGTTGAGAATAGCTGCTCTGGCTAATGAAGCCAACGGCCTGCCCTAAGCCTTGGATCAATTCAGGTAAACAGAAGGTCACAACTGAATTGTGCTGAAACTGGGTTTTGCTCCTAAGTAAATAGGAAACGCATGCATCTGTTGGCAAAGGAGTTCCCTTTGCCAATCCCATTGCTGTGACCTATAAAAGTTCTGCATTTCTAGACCCCATTTGGCAGGATCACAGCCAGAATCAATAGAGATTTCTGCTGACAGGTTGCAAACGTTAGTCATTTCTTGCGTATGACCCACAGCAGATCTGGATTACAGCCCAAAAGGAAGCAGTTCATGGGGAAGGCTGTAAACTTAAAAAATATACACTGCTCAAAAAAAAAAAAAAAAAGGGAACACTTAAACAACACAATGTAACTCCAAGTCAGTCGCACTTCTGTGAAATCAAACTGTCCACTTAGGTAGCAACACTGATTGACAATCAATTTCACATGCTGTTGTGCAAATGGAATAGACAACAGGTGGAAAGCATAGGCAGGTAGCAAGACATCCCCAATAAAGTAGTGGTTCTGCAGGTGGTGACCACAGACCACTTCTCAGGTCCTATGCTTTTTGGTTGATGGTTTGGTCACTTTTGAATGCTGGCGGTGCTTTCACTCTAATGGCAGCATTAGATGGAGTCTACAACCCACACAAGTGGCTCAGGTAGTGCAGCTCATCCAGGATGGCACATCAATGCGAGCTGTGGCAAGAAGGTTTGCTGTGTCTGTCAGTGTAGTGTCCAGAGTATGGAGGTGCTACCAGAAGACAGGCCAATACATCAGGAGACATGGAGGAGGCCGTAGGAGGGCAACAACCCAGCATCAGGACCGCTACCTCCGCCTTTGTGCAAGGAGGGATAGGAGGAGCACTGCCAGAGCCCTGCAAAATGACCTCCAGTGGGCCACAAATGTGCATGTGGCTGCTCAAATGGTCAGAAACAGACTCCATGAGGGTGGTATGAGGGCCCAATGTCCACAGGTGGGGGTTGTGCTTACAGCCCAACACCGTGCAGGATGTTTGGCATTTGCCAGAAAACACTAAGATTGGCAAATTCGCCACTGGCGCCCTGTGCTCTTCACAGATGGAAGCAGGTTCACACTGAGCACATGTGACAGACATGACAGGGTCTGGAGACGCTGTGGAGAACGTTCTGCTGCCTGCAACATCCTCCAGCATGACTGGTTTGGCAGTGGGTCAGTAATGGTGTGAGGTGGGATTTATTTAGGGGGCCGCACAGCCCTCCATGTGCTTGCCAGAGGTAGCCTGACTGCCATTAGGTACCAAGATGAGATCTCAGACCCCTTGTGAGACCATATGCTGGTGCGGTTGGCCCTGGGTTCCTCCTAATGCACGACAATGCTAGACCTCATGTGGCTGGAGTGTGTCAACAGTTCCTGCAAGACGAAGGCACTGATGCTATGGACTGGCCCACCTGTTCCCCAGACCTGAATCCAATTGAGCACATCTGGGACATCATGTCTCGCTCATTCCACCAACGCCACGTTGCACCACAGACTGTCCAGGAGTTGGGAGATGCTTTAGTCCAGGTGTGGGAGGAGATCTCTCAGGAGACCATCCACCACCTCATCAGGAACAAGCCCAGACGTTGTAGGGAGGTCATACAGGCACGTGGAGGCCACACACACTATTGAGCCTCATTTTGACTTGTTTTAAGGACATTACATCACAGTTGGATCAGCCTGTAGTGTTTTTTTCCACTTTTAATTTTGAGTGGTAACTCCAAATCCAGACCTCCACGGGTTGCTAAATTTGATTTCCATTGATAATTTTTGTGTGATTTTGTTGTCAGCACATTCAATTATGTGATGAACAAAGTATTTAATAAGAATATTTAATTCATTCAGATCTAGGATGCCTTATTTTTGTGTTCCCTTTATTTTTTTGAGCAGTATATTTTATTTGCAATTCCCGTAGAGATTTCCATAGAAGGAATTTGCAATTTAGAGGGAATAAATTGCAATTTAGACAGAATTTTCATTTCCCCTTCCTAATATACCTGTCTAATAAAATCCAACAAATTCCAAACAAATTAAATTAGCTGCTCCGGTATTTGCATGACATTTGCTGCTCGCTCATTCATTCATTCATTTAATTCCTATTCCATCTGAACCAATCACTCAGGACAGTGGTTGGATTCAAAAAATTTGTATTACCAGTTCTGTGGGTGTGGCTTGGTGGGCATGGCGTGGATTAGTGGGTGTGGCATAACTTGGTGGGCACGGCAGGGGAGGGATACTGCAAAATCCCCATCCCACTAACCTGCTTTCCAGTTCTGCTCTCCTGTGCAGGGCAACCCAAGAAGACCCAGCTGATCAGCTGGGACCCAACGGGAGGCAAAGAAGAGATGGGGGCGGGGCCAGTCAAAGGCGGTATTTGCCAGTTCTCCCAACTACTCAAAATTTCCGCTACCGGTTCTCCAGAACTGGTCAGAATCTGCTGAATACCCCCTCTGACTCAGGGTGGCTTCTAATTCCAAAACTATAAAAACAATAAAAAAAAAACCATTTAGAACAATAAAATCCAAAATAAACATATGCAGCAACAGAAATAATTAACCAATTAACAGTAAACTCAAGAAATGGCACCCTTAGCATATTCCGAGGAGCTCCGGGCTTGGCTACAGAGTCAAATTTTTAAAGATTTGCAAAAGGACGGCAGGACTGAGCCCCTTCTAACGTCCTGGGGAGGACATTATGCAAAGCAGGGGCTGCTACAGCAAAAAAAGATCCATTTTCTGGTTTCTGGAAGGCAGCCCTCTTTGTCCAATGGGATCTGCTGGGGTTTTGGTGCCATTGCACCAGGTAGGAAAAGTTGGGTCCCTGAATTCTATTACCAATTCTAAGATAGTCGCAAGTCCTCGGTCGCAGGGTTCTTACACAACTTGAGATTAAGCAAGTATAGACGGGCCTTTTCTAGTGTCCGATTTAATGCCTTTCCCCATCGGCAATTCAGGAGGGGGGATTTCATGGGACCCTTTATTCCCTTTGTCCTTGTGGATCGGGGGTGGGTGGGAAATCCTCACCCACGTCCCCATTCAATGTTCTAGGATAGCAATAGCACTTATATACCTCTTTCCAGCCTCTCTCTAAAGCTGAGTCAACCTATTGTCCCCCAACTATCTGGCTTCTCATTTTACCCACTTTGGAAGGACGGAAGGCTGAGTCAACCTTGAGCTGGTGAGGTTCAAACTGCCAAATTGCAGGCAGCCAGCAGGCAGCAGAAGTAGCCTGCAATACTGCATTGTAATCACTGCACCACCGGGGCTCTGACGATTCCCCAAGACAGGCTGATTGCCCCAATCACTTCCAAATACAAAAGGCCACACGGATAAAAATGTATGATTATCTTTTAAAGGCTGTTAACCTTACACTCCCATAGCAATAGCCATAGCCCTTGGCCTTATATACCATTTCACAGTGCTTTACAGTCCTCACTAAGTGGTTTTACAGAGTCAGCCTCTTGCCCCCAACAGTCTGGGCCCTCATTTTATCCACCTCGGAAGGACGGAAGGCTGAGTCAACCTTGAGCCACTGAGAATTGAACTGCTGGCAGTTGGCAGAATTAGCCTACAATACTGCATTCTAACCACTGTGCCATCAGGAAGGATTAGGAGAAAGGGAGGGAGAGAGGGAGGGAGGGAGGGAGGGAGGGAGGGAGGAAGGAAGGAAGGAAAGAAAGAAAATAACAATAGCACGTAGACTTATATACCACTTCACAGTGCTTTTACAGCCCTCTCTAAGCAGTTTACAGAGTCAGCTTCTTGCCCTCAGCAAGAGGTGAGATTCGAACTGCCAAATTGTGGTCAGCTGGCAGTCAGCAGAAGTAGCCTGCAGTACTGCACTCTAACCACTGCGCCACATACCAGGGGGTCAAATATTTTTACCAAGTTGCAAAACTGCACAAAAACGTTTAATCACATATGCTATTTTACTGCCCGTTATTATTATTTTTCCCTTTCCTAATAGCTGCCATTTACATCTCTCTCCTTTTACTGCATTCTTTGATTGTAAAGGCTGCTCTAAGACCGTAATAAAGATATTTGCTTTGACTGGATAATCCCTCAGATAACCTGGTCCCAAGCCACAGAGGGCTTTTAAAAGGTGAAAACCAGCACCCAGAATTGCACCCAGAAACACACACCGGTAGCCAAGGCAGCTTTCACGCATTAGTGGGGTAACATGTGCCGAATATCCCACACCATTTGTGACTCTCTGCATTTTGCCCCGCCGTTGAAGCTTCCAAAGGCTCTTCAGGCACAGCCCCACCATACAGCGAGCGCATTGCAGTAATCTTATTAAAAAGGGATCGGGCATTCCCTGCGTCTTAAAAGCTTAAGGCCCGTTTTGGGACTTTGCTTTCAGAAACTATCTGGAATCCTTGAAAACAGAGTTGTTTTACAGGGTGGAGAGAAGTGAACCCAAGCGTTTGCACAAACATAGCCTTGGCAGATGAAATTAAAATGTCTATTTTCTTAAGCTTACTCCAGGCAAACTTGTTTAAAAAAGAAAAAAAAAAGGCATAATGGCTGCAATTGTTAGTGAACCGTTTAGAAAAGAACCGAGACCTTTGTGTAAACCAGGAGTCTCAACAGCGCTCAAAACGTTTTCCACTGAATGAATGTGAATTTAGGGAACAGCCTTCACTGTAATTTAATTTAAACTAAATCAAACTTAGATTAGGGACCGTGGCAGTTTGAAGGGAGGATGTATCACCCCGTTCAACAGCCAAGTATAATTCCTGCCTTGCCACACCCCCAAATGGTTATATACACCTATTATAAAATAATAGTAATGTAAAATCTAGTATATATATAAAATTCACGCATCATCACAAAATCTCCAGAATCATAAAGCCTACAAACTTGAAATTTGGCACGTATGTTTCTCTTGGCTTCTAAGTGCTCGCTAAGAAAGGATTTTTCGAAATGACCCTCAGAGCATTCTTATTTCCTATATTATTATTATTATGTTCTGATACTAAGGAGTTCTATTCCCCCCACACCTGAAAAGGAATCTGTTCCAAATGCAAAACACAAGCAGAGGAGTTTCAGTTTCAAAGCAGCAACCAGCTTTAGTACAGAACAGTTGAGCTAAGCCACGCTCAGGCTCCTTGCTGTCTCCTTGCTCACACAGCCAATACTGTTTCAGTTTCCAAACAGCCCTCAACTCTCTCACACACTGACAAGACGCTAGCCAGATGAATACTGATGGATGCTGATAGGCAGAGGCAGAATTTTCTCCCCTTATTTTCCTCCCCACAAAACTAAGCCTGTTCACATACTTTCGTAGCGAAGCACGGTTATCCCGTTAGTAATACGTATAATAATATTGCATGGCAACTATTTATTATTCCAAGGGAAAGTTCAGGAATAATGCAGCCCAAAAGAATATTTAGATCCTTAATGATAATAAATCAAGATAGACTTTTATATATTTTTACGATGGTCAGTTTTGTATCTGTGGTTTTTATCCTAATTGCTGTGTGTCGTCCAACATCACTTAAGATGAGATGGGCGGCAATGCAAATTAGATTAATAAATAAATGAATTTGACTGTCCTAACTACCACTTTACTCGCCTTTTTTGTTTGGCTGGGTGAAACTCTTACGCACTGTCAGTTTTGCCACTTTTCTTGCCACTGTTATTAAGTGAATCTGGCTTCCCCATGGATTTTGCTTGTCGAAAGGTTGCAAAAGGACATCTTGGGACACAGCAACCGTCGTAAGTATGAGTCAGGCACCAAGCATCTGAATTCTTTTTTTTTTTAACCTTCATTGATCATATTTTCACAATTAAAAACACATTTCCACTCATTTACAGCGTGTTCGTAAGGTGTTCGCTCACACTGACATATTCTGAATTCTGATCACGAGTACGGGGATGCTACAAAGATCCTACGTGTGAAAAACAGCCCTAACTCATCCCAAAAGTGCTTTTATTTTATGAGACAGCTGGACTTTCTGTTTTTTTTCCCTTTGAAGTCATTTCCCTTCTCACCCAAGAAGCTTCTTCAGCTCTGACTGGATAGTGGGGAACGGAAGGATTTATACTCCTTGCACACAGCTGGTCATTTGCATCCTTCTGGAGGGTCGTTGAGGCCACTTGGAGCTTTAACTGTGTCCTCAGGGTCAGCTGAGTAGTGCAAATGGTTCCTGTGATCTGCAATTTTTTCCTCTGGAAATCCTTTCCTACTCCCACGCCCTTCCCAGGGGGTTCCTCCCAAATTGCAAAGCAAAAAGTCTGTAGATATTCTCAGTCCTCCAGGTCACAGTTGTCCTAAAGGTGCTTTTTCAAGAGGCAACTGGACTGTCTTGTTTTTTCTTTGAAGATGTTTCGCTTCTCATCCAAGAAGCTCCTTCCGTGACTGGATGGTGGGGAACAGAAGGATTTATATTGCAAAATGCAAATGTCCAGCTGTCTTCGAGGAATATCAATCCTTCCATTCCTCACCATCCACTCAGAGCTGAAGAAGCTTCTTGGATGAGAAGCGAAACGTCTTCAAAAGAAAAACAAAGAAAGCCCAGTTGCCTCTTGGAAAATGCAGCTTTGGAACAAACATCACCTGCAGGACGGAGAATCTCCATAGATGGGCCTAAGTCACATTTTTTCAGTGGCCATTGTTAACTTTGAACGGTCACTGAATGGAACTGCTGTAAGTCGAGGACTGCCTGCATTAGCCCAAACTTTTCTGGTGGAAATTTAGAAGGCAGGAGAAGGAATGGGCCTGTGGAAATATTAACGCCGGTGGCAGGACCACAGCACAAATCAAGGGCAAGCTATAAAAAGAGTGGGTAACCTTGCCAGCGTTTCATTTCTAGGCCAATTCCAACTCTTGGACGTTAACGTGGCCAAAGAGCACGCACCCCTTGGTGGAATGCATAGGTAAGAGAAAAAGAGCAACGCTGTTTTAAACATGATTTATTCAGCATCTTGTGGAAAGAGGTGTAAAAGAATCTATTTAACACCGGTAAAAGCCAGTCCAGAACGATCAGGATATAAAATCCACTTAGATCACGACCTAATAAGTTCTCAACCTCTTTATAGTGTTCAATTGCTCTGCTAAACAATTGTAGTTAATCAGGGATTTATTGACCAATATGAAGCTGTGGGAAGCCCTTCCCCCCTCCTAGAAGAATGAAATATTTTGGAAAATATTAAAAAGGCAGATTATTATATTTCCCAAAGGGAGAAATAGAGAAACATGCTCTTGGAGGCAGAAAGCAGCCCCGCCCACTGCAGATGTCAGCACTTAAGAAATAAAGAGCTTATTGAAAG